GTGGTTATGCTGTTTGAGCGTAAAATGGAAGAAATGCTAAAATTTATTATAAAAAGAAAGCAAATGACATTTTATGAGTTTCTATTTCAAATGAAAAAACAGTGGAACAATCAGCAAAATGCCAAGAAAATTAATTCAATATGATGGAAGATAGAACACCAATTAACTTCAGAAATCTGTATAAGTCATGTGGTAGGAACTTAACTAGTTAAAAAATAGGGACTTCTGTTTTAGTTTTACACCTACTTCAAGTAAAGCCACAAACTTTGCAAACCATGTGATAGATACTCTCTGCTAGATGTTTTTAATTTGATTGAATTGTTCTTGACAGTTCCTTTACCACATCATGCATTATGCACATTAAAAATGGGCAGTGGGTAGGGAAAACTATCCCAGTGGGAAAGAGAAACAGAAAAAAAATATATTATTTTCCTTTAGAATTTAAATAAGCTATTCAGATTATGCTAGGCTGTATGATTTTACATACAAAAAAGGAAATAAAGTTGGCAAAAATTATATTTAGTGTTAAGAGTGCTAGCTTAATTATCTTTTGAATAATTTAAGAAATCATCACACCTACACTGCATTTAATCTTTTAAATTATGTTAAATCAGTAGTCAAATCTTACTTAGAAATTACAGTAATGCTTTACTGAAAGCCTTCATTTAAGTAAGCTGCATTTCACTATGGGATTGGAATGAGGTTTACACTCCACAATTTTGTCACCTTTCCCACCTCCTCACTCTCTACCTCTAAGGAAAGTGTTGTCTTGCCCCACTCAGCTTCATCTTCCCTCCTGCTTCTAAGGAGAGTGTCATCTTGCCAGTTCAATGTCACTGCTCATATTTTCTGAGATTCTCTCAGAGTTACCTGAACACCCCCTGGGCCCCATTAGCTATGGGTACCAGGGAATATGAATATCTCACTAGTTGACCCTAGAAGGATAGAAACCAGTGACCAATGACATAATAATCAAACCAGCTGCTTGCAGTTCTGAATACATCCATTAACTTATCTAGTATTCTCTCTTGAATAGGCCCAACATGTGCTGTAAGTGGCCCATCCAAGTCTTGACTCTGACACTAATAATATCCCATTAAAATAGATAGGATATCAAGGAAAGCTAGGATTCTAAACCCAAAATATGTTACTAGAGTTAACCAGTAAATAATTTATATATATAAAAGCCTAATGTGCAAATTGTTCCCTCAGGAGTTCAACCAGGAGACTGGGAGTTCGATCGCTCGCTATGATGTGTGCTGACCACCAGGGGGAGGCATAGAATGAAGGAAGGCCCAGGTGCCAGCCGGCAGCCAGGAAGGCCCCAGTCGGCCCTGGTCGCCAGCCAGGCCTAGGAACCTGCCCGTGCATGAATTTTGTGCACCAGGCCTCCAGTAATAATATAAGAAATTATAACATCAATAAGAAAAGTTTCAGTGGTAAGAGATTTTGAATCAAATTTTTAAATATAAATAAGAGAGTATAGAGTGAATAACTAGAGGACATGGGTACATAACTCAAATGGATTCATGAACAGATATGAAATAGATATCGGTAGGTGGTAAAGAAGTAAAGCATAAGATGAAAGCAAGGGTCAGCAAACCACAGCCCACTGCCTGCTTCTGTAAATAAAGTTTTATTAAAACATGAACGCACCCATTTATTTGCATACTATCTATGGTTATTTTTCTATCACCACAGCACAGTTGAATACTTTCAATAGAAACCACAAGACCTACAAAACCTAAAATATTTATTATCTGGCCTTTTATAGAAAAAATATTAACCTCCATCTTAGACTTGAGGAAAAGTCATCACAATGATGACTACATTGTGGTTTTTAAAAAATGTCTCTGCTCAAAGTCACTAATCATCCAAGACATTCAAATCAAAATGATAATGAGGTACCATCTCACACCTGTCAGAATGGCTATTATCAGCAAATCAACCAACGACAAGTGCTGGCAAAGATGTGGAGAAAGAGGATCCTCGTGCACTGCTGGTGGGAATGCAGACTGGTGCAGCCACTGTGGAGAACAGTATGGAGTTTCCTCAAATAGTTAAAAATGAAACTCCCATTTGACCCAGTGATCCCACTTTTAGGACTATATCCCAAGAAATCAGAAACACTGATCAGAAAGGATATATGCACCCCTATGTTCATAGCAGCACAATTCACCATAGCTAAGATTTGGAAAGAGCCTAAGTGCCCATCAGCAGATGAGTGGATTAAAAACCGTAGTACATTTACACAATGGAATACTACACTGCGATAAAAAAGAAGGAACTGTTACCATTTGCAACAGCATGGATGGAACTGGAGAGCATTATGCTTAACAAAATAAGCAGTCAGAGAAAGATAGATATCACATGATCTCACGCATTTGTGGAATATAATGAACAACATAAACTGATGAACAAAAACAGATCCAGACACATAGAAGCATTGAACAGACTGTCCAACCTCAGAGGGAAGGCAGGGGAGAACGTGGGCTAAGAGATCAACCAAAGGACTTGTATGCATGCATATAAGCATAACCAATGAACACAGACACTAGGAGAGTGAGAGCATGGGCCAGGGGGTGGGAGTGGCCGTGGAGAGATCAATGGGGGGAAAGGGAGATATATGTAACACTTTAATCAATAAAGAACTTTAAAAATATCTCTGAGTTCACACCTCATGTTCAAAGCTCAACTTACTTCACACTTAGGCTATGTTTGAGTAATCCAATTTCTCCATTTGGTTGAAGTGATAAGTTTAGAGAGATCTCTCCTTTTCTACAGATTGCTTATATGATTTTTCATATAGTAAGCTAATTAGATAAAGTATAACCTTGCCTACTCTTGCAAAATATTAAGGAGCATTACTTCTTTGCACATTTGAATTGTAACAATTTCCAAACAAAAACTGGAATACTATGAAAGCATGTCAAAAAAGAAAGAGCCTTTAGTGATGTTTTAATGATGAGGGAAAGATTCTAAAGGAATGTGAAGAATGAGTAGATATTCAAAGATCTCTGTAGTCAAAGATTTCTGGTAGCCATCCAATTATCACCTAATTATGACAACCACAATACCTTGCCTCTATTGATTAAGTTGTGCAACTGAACCTTGTCACTCCTGGACCCTGTGATCTGCTTTGAAACCAGGAAGCCCATTTCAATGGTGACCTCTCACAACTTCAACTATAACCTAGAGAGAATAACTATTATACTTCAGAATGTTGCAATGCCCTTTAACAAGTGTGTGTGTGTGTGTGTGTGTGTGTGTGTGTGTGTGTGTGTGTGTGTGTGTAAGTGAGAAGTAACTTCTATATTTGCTCAGATCCTTAGGACTGAAATAGTTAAGCAACCCAATAACATCTGTAGAATTGAAAAAAAAAAATCCCTGATGTTCCCTCCCTCTAGGGAGCATGTCCATGCCTTTCCCTTCCCAGTCTTCTTCCCCCAGGTGCATTACCTTTGCTTTTCTCACTCCTAAGTTCCAAGAGCCCTTATTCTGCCTCTGTAACTTGTGTCCTGAGACTACACAGCCCAGCTGGCTCACTTCTACCACATCTGTATATTTCTAAATAAACATTCTCTTATAATTTGAAAAGAAAAATATCTCTAAAACTGACAAATGGAGAATTGACTTCCATGATCACATTGGAAAGTCTTGGCCTTTCATCATTTATCTCTACTTCAGTTTCCAAACCCAGGGCCGTGTGTGTGTGCGTGTGTGTGTGTGTGTGTGTGTGTGTGTGTGTGTGTGTTTACTTTTAGAGAGAGGGGAAGGGAGAAGATGAATGAGAGAGAAACATTCTTAAGTTGCCTCCCATATGCTCCCCAACAGAGGATTGACCCTGCAACCTGGGTATGTAGCCTGACTAGGAATCAAACCTGCAATCCTTCAGTGCATGGGATGATGCTCCAATCAACTGAGCCATACCCATCACAGCAGGGTCTCTTGAATAAAAAGGCTATCTATAACAAGCAGAAGAAAGAAAGGAATAAGCTTAAAATAGCATCACCTATTAGTTCTGTATATCTTCTACATGGCTTTCTCTAATGAAACTACCTCATGCAAATTAAGTACCACCAGAGGCTCTTTCAATGACTGAACCTAACAGGCAGCTGGCAGGGGGAGGCAGGCAGAGGCAAGTCTCAGGGTGCCTTGAAACTTTTGCTGACCTACCCTCAAGCCTAGTGCTGGTAAGAGCCAGGCTGAGGGCATACCCAGACCCACCAGAGGCAGCCACAAACTGTGGATCAATATGTAGCTCCAAACAGGTTGCCCAGAGCCAGTCACAGGCTGTATCTGAATTTGGTTTGCACTAGAGTTCCTCCAAGAGGCCCAGAACCAACATACCAAGTGGCCAGCTTTAGACAATATCAGAGCAGGACCCAGTAAGCTTCACAAGTAGCATATCCAAAGGGAAATCTTAGCAGATCCTGCTAAGGCGAATTCTGTGTTGTGTGGTCATCACCGCACAGCAGCTTACACACTGTGGCCAGGGTTGATCCTCACAGTCAGCCTGCCAGAAGGTTGATCCCATGCGTGAACTAGTCAATAGCAATAAAAACCCAATTATAACAGGAGGGCCCACATAGCCCACACAAGGGACATTCCTAGAGCACCCAGCACAAGTGATCAAGGAGACTGTGCCATTGGACCCCACAGGACAGCTACTTCATAAGGCCACCCTACCAAGACTGGGAGTCATAGCAGATGTATCTAATACATACAAACAAATACAAAGAGGCAGCCAAAATGGAGGAAAAGAAACATGTCACAAGTGATAAACAGAAGAAATTTCCAGAAAAAAAGCTAAATGAAGGGGTCACAAGCAACTTATCAGATATAGAGTCAGGAAAATGGTTTTAAGGATGGTCAAAGAACTTAGTGAGAGCTACAAAGAACAACAGTATTAAAAGGAGATAGAGCCGAAACCAGTTTGGATCAGTGGATAGAGCATCAGCCTGCGGACTGACAGGTCCTAGGTTCAATTCCGGTCAAGAGCATGTACCTGGGTTGTGGGCACATCCCCAGTAGGAGGTGTGCAGGAGGCAGCTGATTGATGTTTCTCTCTCATCGATGTTTCTAACTCTCTATCTCTCTCCCTTCCTCTCTAAAAAAATCAATAAATATATTTTTTTTAAAAAGGAGATAGAGACCATAAAAAAGAACCAGTCAGAAATGAAGAATATACTAGTTGAAATGAAGAATACACTGGAATGAATAAACAGTAGGTTGGAGGAAGTAGAATATTTAATCAGTGATTTGGAAGACAAGGTAACAGAAAACACCCAATCAGAGTAAAACATATCTTGATGGCCATAAAGGAAGAGATCAATAGTAATACATCATAGTAGGAATATTAATACCTCATTAATATCAATGCATAAATCTTTCAGACAGAAAATCATAAAGGAAATGGTAGCCTTAAATGACACACTAGTTCAGGTAGATTTAATTGATATTTTCAGAGCATTTCACTCCAAAAAAGCAGAATATATATTTCTTTTCAAGTAGACATAGAACATTTTCTAGGATAGACCACATGTCAGAATGTAAAACAAGTCCCAATAAATTAAAGAAGATTGAAATCATATCAAGCTACTTCTCTAACTGTAATGGTATGAAACTAGAAATCAATCATAACAAAAAAACTGAAAAACACACAAAATCATAAAGCATAAATAACATTTTATTGAACAGTGAATGGGTTAACAATGAGATCAATGAAGAAATCAAAAGATACCTTGAAACAAATGAAAATGAGAACACAACAACCCAAAGCAGTTCTAAGAGAAAAATTCATAGCATTACAGCCCTAACTCACAAAACAAGGAAAATATCAAATAAACAATCTAACATCACACTTAAAGGAACTAGAAAAAAAAGCCCAAAATGAGTAGAAGAAAAAAATAAGAAAGAGCAGAGCAGATATAAATGAAATAGTCTAACAGAAAAATATAAAAGTTCAATTATAAAAGGAAAAAACCAATAAAACCAAGAGCTGGTTCTTTGAAAAGATAAATAAGATTGGCAAACCTTTAACCAGACTCATCAAGAAACAGAGAGAATCCAAATAAATAAAATCAGAAATGAAGGAGGGGAATAACAACTGATACCAAAGAAATACAGAGAATTGTAAGAAAATATTACAAATAACTACATGTCAACAAATTGGAAAATTTGAAAGAAATGAAACATAATCTTCCTTAACTGAATAAGAAAGAATTGGAGAACCTTAATAAATAAATAAAAACTAGTGAAATTAAAGTAGTAATCAAAAAACTCCCAACAAGGAGAACCAAGATGGCAGCATAAGGTATACACTTGTACGTGCTGCCCCCCACAACCACACCAAAACTGCAACTAAAAGACAAAATGGCTATCATGCAGAATCATGGGAAAGCTGGCTGAGTGGAAGTTCTACAACTAGAAGGAAAGAAAAAAGTGCATTGAGACTGGGTAGGAGCTGCAGAGGTGCCAAGAGTGGAGGTATGGAGGCACACGAAATGGGCTGGCAACTGGGTGCACTGTTTTTTTCAATTGGAAGGGAGATACAAGCTCCTGACTGCTCTGAACTCCAGTTTCCGGTGAGACTCGGGACCCAGACTCCTACAGGATTAAACTGGACTGTCTGGCATCGGGGCCGGAAAGCAGGGGTGGCTTTCTCGCAGAGCTGCTCGCAGAGATAATTGTCACTGTTGGGGTGCGGGACTCAGGGACACGGAGATGCAGAGACACAGAGACCCGGAGATGCGTGGAGACAGCTGACTGACAGTCATCGCTGTTTGCTCCGCCCTGGTGATTCCCTGAGACCCCCGCCCCACCCAATTTACAACCCCACCCAAGCTGTGCTTTTGCATATGAATCACCTGTCTTTTTGCAGCCTAACCTAACAAACTGCAGCTGGGTCAGGGAGCTCCAAAAACTTCCAAACCCCAAACAAAGAGGAGAAATCTTTAGATCTCTCTGTAGCTCCTGCTGGGTGGACTCAGGCAGTGGCTGACTTTTCACCTCCTTGGAGATTCAGGAGCCAGTATACCCAGTGGTCAGATACCAGATTTCAACTCCTCACATCCATAAGTGACACATTCAAGAAGCAGACTCAGTGAGCACCAAAGCCCCACTGAAGCAAGTTCTGCCCCATAAGGATGTCTGAAGCACAGCAGCTCTCCCATTGTAGACACAACTGGTCCTCACAGCCAATTGACCTGGAGGTCAATTCCTTTCAGTAATACCAACAGCAATCAATGCTTAACGATAACACAACTGTGCACCCAGCCCACAAAGGGGTGCACCAAGAGTGCCCACCTCAGGTGATTGGGGAGGCTGAGCCACTGGGCCCAATAGGACACCTACCACACAAAACCACTCTATCAACACAGGGAAGCAGCTAAAATACAGAGACCAACATCAAGGTCACAAATGACAGAAATGGAAGAAAGCAAACTACTGGATATAGAGTTCAAAACCACACTTTTAAGGTTTTTCAAGAATTTTCTAGAACCCACCGATAAATTTAGTGAGACCCTCGAGGTTATGAAAAAAGGACCAACTAGAAATTAAGCATACCATGACTGAAATAAAGAATATACAAAGTTCAAACAGCAGC